CAAGGCTGTTTCGAATATTTTGGAAATTAAGTTTCAGTTCTTTCTCTATCAATGCGGCAAGCACATTTTATGAAGAATTAAAATAATACGAAATTGTAGTTGATATGTTAGTGGAACTAGAAAGTTTGGCTTTTTAGAATCACTTGAAGTCAGGGTTGGGTAGATGACACAAATTGCATATTAATATAGCTTATGTTTCCATTGCCAAGTTATATTATATGTGCTCTTAATGATTGATCCTATATGGTATTTTAGTAACTTAGCAAGTCAAGATAGAATAGTATGCTTGAATCATGTGTTACAATGCAATTAACTCAATTATTGTGAAAGATATCTTATTCGCTTGTAAGCTTAAAGTGCTTCTTTTATTGAGTTTTAAATGTTTTGCATGGGGTTAATTTATTTTGTTTATCTTGGCAGATCCTAATTATGAGAGTAGGCTGAATCTTGTCATGAGCTTAGACATCTATGTTCCAAGGGATGAAAGATTTGGTCACTTGAAATTGGCAGATTTTCTTGCCTATGCACTCAAATCCATAGTTCAAGTTCTCAAACCTGAGCTGGAATCTCTATTTGATAGCACTCCCAATGAGTTTGACAGCTTTGAAGATGTACTTAAACTCTATGAAGATGGGTTTGAGGTGCCTGAGGGTATACTTAAAGATGTTAGGGATCACATCCCTGCAGAGATGCTAAAGGAAATTTTCCGAACTGATGGGGAAAGGTTCCTTAAATTTCCCCTGCCTCAAGTGATTGCAGGTATTGCAGATGTGGACAATATATGATATTATTTTTCATGCAAGAACATAGGATAACACATTTTATAAATCATTAGTAGTTAATAGTGACATAAATGATATGAAATTTGAAGCAGAGGATAAATCTGCATGGAGAACAGATGAAGAATTTGCTAGGGAGATGCTGGCTGGTATAAACCCTGTCATAATTCGTAGTCTCCAAGTAAGCCCTCAAGTGTTTATAATTAATTTGATAATGATTGGATCAAAGTAAAGAATAGGATCCTTGTCATGATTTTTAAATTATCATTTCCTAAACTTCTTAGGATCAATATCCCAATGAAGAATTGTCTATGATTTTTACCCCTCACAATAATCATAAATAACTGCAGGAGTTCCCACCAGTTAGCAAGCTTGATCCTAAAGTCTACGGTGATCAAACCAGTAAAATAGCCAAAGAACACATTGAAATCAACCTGGATGGACTCACTGTAGATGAGGTAATTTTCAAGATTGATTGGATCCCATGTTTTTAGTTTTAACGATAAAATCTTGTGAAAGCTTCATTGTAAAAGACAGTTTTTTACTTGTACCCGATGTTGAGATACATATCTGCAATTGGTTGATAGGCAATTAAAGAAAGGAAGTTGTTCATATTAGATCACCATGATGCACAGATGCCATACTTGAGGAGGATAAACTCTACTTCAACAAAGACGTATGCCACCAGGACAGTTCTGTTCTTGCAAAATAATGGGACCTTAAAGCCACTAGCAATTGAGCTGAGTTTGCCACATCCTGAGGGAGATCAACATGGTGCCATTAGTAAAGTTTACATCCCAGTGGAGCAAGGTGTTGAAAATTCCATATGGCAGCTAGCCAAAGCTTATGTGGGGGTAGTTGACTCGGGCTATCATCAACTTATCAGTCACTGGTAAGATAACTGTCAGAGAAACCAAACGCAATTGTAGTTTATCTATTCTTGAAACTTAACTTTTTGATATCTTACTTGTGCATAGGTTGCATACTCATGCAGTCATGGAGCCATTCATTATAGCTACAAATAGGCAGCTTAGTGTGCTTCACCCTATTCACAAGCTATTACACCCTCACTTTCGTGACACGATGAATATAAATGCACTTGCACGACAGATCCTCATCAATGCAGGTGGTGCTCTAGAGTCAACAGTTTCTCCATCCAAGTATTCTATGGAGTTTTCATCAATGCTATATAAGGACTGGGTTTTCCCTGAGCAAGCACTGCCTGAAGATCTTGTCAAGAGGTAAACCATTCAAGCAAAAGACTGGTGTTAACTATCCATCATTTTTATTTTGTATGATTAAATTCAACAGATCATGTAATATTGTTGACTTGTCCAAATTAAATAATTAAAACCAGAGTAACTTAGAGGATATCATAATAAAATAGAAGTGAGTGGAAATTTGCTATTAATCATTGGCTGCATCTTTGATTCTTTCAGAGGAATGGCTGTTAGGGACTCATCTTCCCCATATGGCCTTCGACTATTGATTGAGGATTACCCTTTTGCTGTTGATGGCCTGGAGATTTGGTTTGCTATCAAGACATGGGTTCAGGACTACTGCTCCTTTTACTACAAGGAGGATGACTCAGTAAAGAAAGATGCAGAACTCCAATCATGGTGGAAGGAAGTAAGGGAGGTGGGTCATGGTGACAAGAAAGATGAACCTTGGTGGCCAAGGATGCAGACACGTGAAGAGCTGATTGAGGCTTGCACTATTATTATATGGATTGCCTCGGCTCTTCATGCTGCAATCAACTTTGGACAATATGCATATGGAGGCTACCCACCAAGTCGTCCATCTATAAGCCGACGATTCATGCCAGAAGTAGGAACTCCAGAATACAATGAACTTGTGGCAAATCCTGAGAAGGCTTTTCTCAAAACAATTACTGCACAGTTTCAGGCTGTTCTTGGCATTTCACTTGTAGAAATCTTGTCCAGACATTCTACTGATGAAGTGTACCTTGGGCAGAGAGACACTTCAGATTGGACATCTGATGTAGAGCCATTGCAAGCCTTTGACAAGTTTGGTAATAAACTTGCTGATATTGAGGAAAGGATCTTGAGAATGAACAGTGATGAGAGACTCAGAAACAGGTTTGGTCCAGTTAAGATGCCATATACCTTGCTTTATCGTACAAGTGACGGGGGACTAACTGGCATGGGAATTCCTAATAGTGTTTCAATTTAAAGGAGCTGCATGGACTTGTCTTTTTAGTTTAATAGTAATAATAATGCCCTTAGTGGCCTTGGCTGATTTGAATTCTGATTTTGTAATGAGCATCAGTCTTGTGACTCTTCCATTATAGTGTGCAATTTTCGTGCATTCAAAACAAAGGAAAGAAAAGACAATCCCATGGAGAAATGATATAGAAGAAATTGACTTGCACATGCTGTTTGTATGCATGATATTCATTGGATTTTCAGGGCACGAAGAGGAATTTTATAAAAAGAAAACGAAAAATTAAAAATTACTTTCGCTGTAAAGATAAACGATAGAATATATGTAATATAAATTTGGGTTAGGCTCAATGGGCTACCTGCATAATCCGCGTAAAAATGGTAGGATGGGTCATTGGTTCCAGACAAGTTGTTTCTTCTTGCTCACGACAATGCAGGCTAGCTTGTTGACCTATTTTTAAAAATAACATATAATTTAAATCTTAATTTTTATTAATATAAAAATATTATTTAGATGTATTTTTAGTGGCTTTTATAAGTTTTCATTTATTTTTCAATTTTTATGTTAATTTTCGGTGGGCTGATATGTTAACCCACTAGTCTATCAACCTACTTTTTATTTTTAGTCTTTGGTAATTTGATCCGTTAATCCTAATAGCTCATAGGCTAAAAAATTTTAGCTCTAAAATGAGGTAGATTGACCCATCTGTGATTAGCTTTTGGCAAGGTAGATTGGGTAAATTGACTAGCTTTGATACTCTTAAATACACTTTTGTTATCTCAAAAAATATGCAAAGACTCTATTTAAAAAATTTATCTTCAAAATAATATTTAATGGGAGTTTAAATTAAAGAAAAATAATATCGTTTTGATGAAAATTGTCTTCTATTTCATAAAGTTAAATAGACTAAACTAATGTGGACTATAATGCAATATGATTGTGTCAATCTGGAGATCTATTAATATGCATGAAAAAAATTATTAAATTAAGTTCTTTAACATTAATTATTTAGCTGTTAATTCGTTAAATTGATCTTAGTTATAAATTTTTTGTAGTCAAACATGTGTTTTCTTATTAAAAAGTGTGAAAATATTATAACCTTTAACCAAATAAAACAAATTGATATAAACTACGAGTAATAATGTTTTTTAGTTTTATTTTTTAAAAGAAGTATTCTATTTTATTAGAAATATTTTTAATTATTGTTTAAGATTATAATACATAATTTTTTGAAAAATAATTAATTTCTCATTTGTCTTTAATTTCTTAATTTGAAATTAAATTTTTTTCTTCATCATCTTTAATATATTTAATTTATTTTAAATTTTTAAAATTTTTTTTCTACTCTTGACGACTTTATAAATCTTTTTTTTATTATAGTTTGTCCCAAGATATAGAATCCTTTCCAAAAATTTTAGACTATGTGTTATTTATCGTCTTTTTTGTCTCATTTTTTTTATTTTGATATTTTAGTCAATTTTTAGCATTGTTGCATATATGCAAGTTTTAAAACACTTCCTCTTCTCTCTTATCTTTTTTTATGCACATCTTTATTCAGTTGTCATGATTCTTTATCTTTTACTCTAAAATTTAGTGTTTCACCTAAAATGTATAAATTAGTCTTTAATGTTAAAAATATATTTGATAACGATATATGAAAAAGATTAAGATATTAAAAAAAAACTCACAAAAAGATTTAAAAATAAATGTTAAATATTAAAACTAATTTATAAATAAAAATCAGTTTAAATAAAATGAGATATCAAATAATGAAATTATGATATTAAATATAGATATTGAAAAATCAAATCTTATATTTAAATAAATAATTTATAACTAAATTTTAACTTAAAAATCATTCACATTTTCGTTTAACTATTTTAAAAAATATTATTTTATAATTTAATAACTAATAACATTTAATTCACCTTGATGCGAATAATGAAAAAAAAAAAAAAAACTCTAATCTCTCAAAGATGACACCGAAGGACAATCTAACTGAACTACTTATGTTACGTACAGTAGGCACTTGAAGACAGAACTGAACTAAACAAACGAAAAGATAAGCATTGAGGGATCAATCTTACAACCATTGAAGCATGTCTTCGTTCTCGTACCTCGGCATTGCAGCATGTCCTCGTCTTTTCTCGATCTGTGTTCATCCTACATCAAATACGAAGTTCGAAACAGAAACCCTTATCCAAAATCATGTGCCCTTATGGATGATTATGATATGATTCCTACTTTGTGATTGAAAGATGAAGAAGCAGCTATATCATTTCTCGTTCGCTCTTTCTCACGTTCCCGAATCGCCAAGCAATCTCATTACAGTAAGGTCAACATCCACCACATCTCTCCATCTCCAAATGAAACGCTGCAATCTCTCCATCTCCAAGCTCTGTAAGGAAGGAAAAATCGACCACGCACGCAAGCTGTTCGACGAAATGCCTGAACGAGATACTGGCCTGTGGACTACAATGGTTAGTGGGTACATCAAGAGTGGCATGATCAGGGAAGCTAGGAAGCTGTTTGATAGATTTGATGCTAAGAAATGTGTGGTTCTTTGGACAGCTATGGTTAGTGGGTACATCAAGTTCAATCAAGTTAAGGAAGCTGAAAGATTGTTTCATGAGATGCCAGTGAGGAATGTTGTGTCTTGGAATACAATGATAGATGGGTATGCAAGGAATGGGCTGACCCAGCAGGCTTTGGACTTGTTCAGGAGAATGCCAGAGAGGAATGTGGTTTCATGGAATACCATCATCACGGCATTGGCACAGTGCGGGAGGATTGAGGAGGCACTGAGGCTTTTTGGTCGGATGATGGAAAGGGATGTAGTTTCTTGGACTACCATGGTTGCTGGTTTGGCAAAAAATGGGAGAGTTGATGATGCCCGAGCGCTGTTTGATAGGATGCCGGTTCGTAATGTGGTTTCATGGAATGCAATGATCACTGGTTATGCTCAAAACAGGAGGTTGGATGAGGCTCTGGAGTTGTTTGAGAGAATTCCTGAGAGGGACATGCCTTCGTGGAATGCTATGATCACGGGTTTCATTCAGAATGGGGAGTTAAATCGGGCAGAGAAGTTGTTTGGTGAAATGCCACAGAAGAATGTCATTACTTGGACTGCAATGATGACAGGCTATGTGCAGCACGGGCTGAGTGAGGAAGCATTGAAGGTATTAAATAGAATGCTGGCTAATGATGGCTTCAAACCCAACACTGGAACTTTTGTGACTGCATTAGGTGCTTGTAGTGACTTGGCTGGCCTTACTGAGGGACAACAGATTCATCAATTAATTAGTAAAACAATTTTTCAGAATAGCACGTATGTGGTATCAGCATTGATAAATATGTACTCGAAATGTGGGGAGTTGCATATAGCTAGGAAGATGTTTGATGATGGGTTGTTGAGTCAAAGGGATTTGATATCTTGGAATGGAATGATTGCGGCCTATGCACACCATGGTTACGGGAAGGAGGCAATTAATCTGTTTAATGAAATGCAAGAGTTAGGTTTCCAAGCTAATGATGTCACCTTTGTTGGACTTCTCACAGCTTGCAGTCATGCTGGTTTAGTTGAGGAGGGGCTTAAATACTTTGATGAGATTCTGAAAAGCAGATCTATACAACTGAGAGAAGATCACTATGCATGTTTGATTGATCTTTGTGGTCGTGCAGGAAGGCTGGAAGAAGCTTTCAATATAATTGAGGGGCTTGAAGAGACATCATTGACAGTTTGGGGAGCGCTCCTCGCTGGATGTAATGTGCATGGAAATGCTGATATTGGGAAGCTTGTAGCTAAGAAAATTTTGAAAATTGAACCAGAGAGTACTGGCACTTATTTATTACTTGCAAATATGTACGCTTCAGTAGGGAAATGGAAAGAAGCTGCGAATGTTAGGATGAAAATGAAGGACAAGGGCTTAAAAAAGCAGCCAGGTTGTAGTTGGATTAAAGTTGGCAACACAGTGCAAGTATTTGTAGCTTGTGATACACATTCTCAATCAGAGCTGCTAAGGCATATACTTATTGATCTACATACAAAAATGAAGAAGGCTGGGAACATGCCAGATGATGATTTATTAGTTGATATGGAATTTCAGTAGTATAAATCTGTGTGGGTCAAAGCTTGGATTATGCATTGAAGTTGAAATGTGGGAAAGTTGACTGGTACCGGTACATCACACTATTGCACTCTATTAAATTCCAGTTTGGTCTCCAAAACACAAGAATGAAGTGTGGCAAGGTAATGACAATCATATTCTCAAAAGAAAAGGTTTGATTTGAATGTTCCTTCCAGTTCTTGAGGCCTTCTTTAAACAACTCATAAATTTGGACTATGAAAAATTCAAATAAAATTGTTCAATCCCCAGCATTGACACCAACACTATCCATGCTACAATTTTAGAAAGGAGAACTATTTTTAACAAAACACTTGTAATTCTCCACGGAAAAGATAACCCGTATTAAGGAAGATCTTAATGAGTCGTTTGAGAAGATAAACATTAATTGAAGGCATTGGATGGTATACCGTATAAGGAAGTACATGTATTGCTTGAATATACCAGGAGTTTTACGGTCAGATATATCATTTGATTTTAAAAAATTGAGTCTTATTTTCTCCCCCTTTAATTCCATAACATTTCTTACATCTTGCCATAATTCTCCAACAAAGCTTCTTTCTTCATGGTTAGAGCCATCAGGATGCATTTCTTTTACTTGGTTTGCAGCTACGTATGTATCATATTGTGCATCATTCTTCTGCATATCAAGAGGTACAGGGTATCCATTATGAAGCATCCATCTAACTGGCAGCTCTTTATAACTGACACCTGAACTTTCACTAGGAACTGCAATGCCCTCCAAAATGTCAATGAAGTAATCTGGAGGATTAATGCGCTTTGGGATAGTTATCCCAAGGCCTGCAAAGTATTCTTCAACTTTCTGGACTGATCCATGATATACAGTAACACCACCTTTTGCCAGGAGTATCAAGCCATCAAACATCTTTAACAAAGCATAACTGCAGCAAAAAGTTAAATCATACCATTATCAAGTCCAAGTTTAAGTATGGAATATGAGATCAGACATTATACTGACTTCTCATTCATATTTTCCAGTTTTCTATGCGGAGAAACAGGGGTATGTGATGGAAATTGACTCAGAATATCATAAAAAGCACAGAAATAGAGGTATTTATCTCCACTTCTGGCCCAATATATAGGTGACTTCAGGACTAGGAAGTGTATTCACATATAGAACTCTCAGAAAGTGAAAAGAAAACAAAAGGACACCAGGTATTCAACATTCTAATCCTCTCTCCTCAATTCCCTGAGTGTTTCTTAGTCCTTACCCTCTCTCTTTTCCCTCTATTTATATTCTCTCTAACTGAATCCCGTAGAATTTCCTCTCCATACTTCCACTTTCCTTGATTTTCTTTCCTAGAAAAACTTAATAAACATTGTTGAGATCTTGCATAAACCCTCAAACTTTTCCAAAATCCTCACCAGACTTAGCAAAATATTCTGGTAATAAGTCCTGAATTTCCCCATTTCATATGCCATATCTTTTATCTTAACCCAAAACCCAAATTCTAATCACTTGAAATATTAGTTCCTTTGATTTTCTGGGCTACCTGGCTCTAAACTTTTTGAATCAGCATGATGATTAGATCAGTTTAATGAAATTTATTCCATCAGGAAACAAGTTAAGAATAAAATACCTTATATTGTAAATGTTATCAGCAACTATCTGCTGAAAAATCATTCCCTACTTTTTCATTAGAAAAATATGAAATCAACTAAAAAAGATATAACCATAGATGAGTTAAGCAATATCCCCATGATGCAGACATGGAATTAGAAGTCACCTGGGTTGGTGAACCACCATGCAAATGTTCACTCCTTCAAGAGCCTCACGTCTTAGTGCTCTAAGGAGTTGAGATGATGCACTATCCAACCTCTTTTAGGGAAACATTTTTTCCCCCAGAAAGAAGGGTAAAACCATTTTGTTGAAACTAAATTAAAAATCTGTTCTCATTATTGGCCATGGCATCCCTTCTCATATTGCAATATTTTTGTCTCTTTTTATTTAGCAAATATTGTGACATTACAGATGATGTGATTCATGCTTACATTTGGATTTGCATTTCTCTTTATTTTTAGTGAGACTGATTGATCTTTGGGGAAGTTGAGTTCTTCTGTTTCTGGTTACATTTGCTAATTTTTTCCTCCTGAGATGTTATATTGGCTATGTACGTACTTCTGATCTGTAATTTTTTGGAGTGGAATTTGACAGGAAGGAACTGATAGTGAAAGGAAGAGCAATGATGCCTAAGGATCTCAAAAACTTGTGAAACGAAAGCGTGAAAAGGTTCAGTTTTGTGTCTCTAAAGATCCTGTTCAGTCTCATTCTATTCTTTCCAGTGATGGATGCCTCTCTCTATTGAAGAGGAGACGCGTTGATGGTAAAGTACTCCTTGTGGTCCCACTCCCTCTCTGTTTTTTCATTGTCCATAGAACCATGCTTGTGGTTTGCTTTCTCTAAGTTGTTTTTATCCCCCTGGATGGCAGAAACTGGCAAAGCTCACCCCTATTACAGCAGAATTCCCATAAGGATTCTTACGAAAGATTTATTTTAGGTGTTTGGACTGTATTCTTGTGTTGGTAGAATGCCAACTGTTAGATATACAATTCATTCATCCGAAAGACTTAATAACTCAAGCTTTTATGAAAGTTGATCAATGACATGGTATCATAGCCTTTTATAGCCAAGTGTTCAATGCTTGCTGCCCCCATTTTAGTGCATGGTAAAATGAGTCTGTGATTGTTCATGTTAGAATATATGAAATATCTTATCATATCTTAGAATCTATTAAATATCCTTTATGTTCAGTTTCTATATTTTTCATTATCTCTTAAGACTGGTTACGATATTTCCTTATGTTATCATGATTTGTTTTCCTAATTAGTTAGAAGTATGAATAGTATTATTATAAGGATTTGTGCTCTAAGTTTTATGAACATTGAAATACATCAATAGTTCAATACTTTGTAATACATCTAAGTTAATATCAATTTTATGTTTCATTCTCTTTTATCTTTTTACTCTCTCTATGCCTAAAATCCCATATTATCAATAGTTCACACGTCACGCCTATATGCCTTTCGTGTGATGAGTGTGGTAGATATAAAATTGTGCCTGGACTTTCACCTAAAGCTTAAGCTTGTGGATTTGTTTGTTTAACTAATTTTTATTATGCACCATGGTAATTCATTTGTACAAGTTACTATGTTTAAATATTTAGGATCTATTTACAAAATAATAGAAAAATCAATGAAGTTGTTACATATAAAATATAAGTTGAGTGATTAAAATAGTAAAAGACATTGAAAATTATATTACTTATTGTTATTGCAAAGTATCTATCAAACTTAAAGAGGAGATTTATCTAAGTTACAGTATGACCAACTATCTTATATGGTAATGAATGTTAGACTTTAGAGGGCTACATGAGAAAAAAGTGAAAGTTGATGAAATGAAAATATTTAGATGGACATGTGGCCACATGAGAAAAGAATTAAGAAATTAAATCATATGCAATGACAAAATTGGTTAAGGTGATTTGGACATATGCAAACAAAGTCACTAAGGGTACTGTTGAAAAGAGTTAATTGTTTGGTCTTTAATCCCATGAAAAGGGTAGAGGTAAACCAAAAAGAACTTTGCAGAAAGTCATTAAAAAGAATCTTATGATAAATAATATTTTTGAAAATTTGATTTTTTAACGAGTCCAGCGGTGTCTTATGTTCCATGTAGTCAATTGCACCTAGTGAGATAAGATTTTTCTTTTTGTTATTTATGATAATTCATAAATGGCATTATTACTTTCACATGGTTATGATTCAGTTTAGTCAAGTGCTGTAGTCGAGAGAATTTGACTTGCAGGAAATTAACATTATGCATTTTTACTTTCGTATATGTAAAAATTCTTTTGTGTTCAAATTTTGAAACTAAATAGTAGCAGTGATAAAATTAGACCAAAGTATCTGTCTCTTGTAACGCTCCGAATTTTGGTAATATTAATTATTATTATTATTATATATATGTATATATATTCATATGTGTGTTGATTTATTTGATAATGATGTTTATGTGTATTAATGTGTGTATTTTATGTATATGCATAACTGGATAGGGCTGAGATTGGCTAAGTACTTAAGTGCAGGGCCTGATACTGGACTGTTCTCACTATAGCGAGAGAATTCTCGCTGTAGTGAGAGGGCCCTAGGAGGAAGGACCATAACTATCTCCTTCTCGCTGTAGCGAGAGGGTCTCGCTATAGTGAGATTCTGCAGAAATCAGGATGCAATTTCGTCTGAAATTTTCACTGTAACGACAAAGGGCGTCGTTACAGCAAGGCATCTCTCGCTGCAGCGAGAGTATCGCAATCTGAGGGGTTTTAAAGGGGGTTTAGGGATTTGAGATTCATTTCTCAAATTCCCTCTCAAATCTCTTCAATCCTCTTGACCCAAAACCCTATTCCACCGATTAATTGCCTCTAAAGCTGTTCGGGAGCTTGATTGAAGGTTGAATTCGTGTGGATGGAAGCATGAGGATGTGTGAATTACCGGTAGTTAAATAAGGTGACGGTCGAGAACAAGTATCCCCTTCCAAGGATTAACGATTTGATGGATCAGCTGAGGGGAGCAGTAGTGTTTTCGAAGATTGATTTGAGATCGGGATACCATCAAATCCAAGTGAAGGATGCAGATGTGCCTAAGACGGCATTCAGGACGTGGTATAGTCACTATGAGTATTTGGTGATGCCGTTTGGGGTGACCAATGCACCTGCGGTGTTCATGGACTACATGAATAGGATCTTTCACGAGTTTTTGGATAAGTTTGTGGTGGTGTTCATTGACGACATCCTAATTTATTCAAAGACTCAGGAGCAGCATGCCGAGCACTTGAGGATTGTTCTACAAATTCTAAGGGAGAGGCAGCTATATGCAAAATTCTCCAAATGTGAGTTCTAGTTGTCAGAGATCCAATTTTTGGGACATATAGTATCGAAGGAAGGGATCATGGTAGACCTTGCAAAAGTGGAAGTAGTAGCTGAGTGGCCGAGGCCGACGAATGTGACAGAGGTGCGCAGTTTCCTCGGATTGGCAGGCTATTATAGGAAATTCATTGAGGAATTTTCTAAAATAGCGTTTCCCTTAACGAAGTTGACCCACAAGGGAAAAGAGTTCAAGTGGACCAAGGGGTGTGAAGCTAGTTTCTTGAAGCTGAAGATAAGGTTGACTTTGGCGCCGGTGTTGCCTCTACCTGACCCAGAGTGGAAGTTTGATTGTATTGTGATGCGTCCGGGCAAGGACTTGGTTGTGTTTTGATGCAAGACGGGCGAGTAGTCGCCTATGTCTCAAGACAGTTACACCCACATGAAGTCAACTATCCAACTCACGATTTGGAGTTAGCCGCGGTAGTTTTTGCTCTTAAGTTAAGAAGGCACTACCTGTATGGGGCGAGGTTCGAGGTGTTCAGTGATCATAAGAGCTTGAAATATCTATTTGAGCAAAAGGAGCTGAATATGCGGCAAAGGAGATGGATGGAATTCCTCAAGGACTACGATTTCACATTGTCTTACCACCCTGGCAAGGCAAATGTGGTAGCCGATGCTTTGAGCCGGAAATCATTGCATGTGGCAGCGATGATGGTGAAAGAGATGGAGTTGATTGAGAAATTTCGGAACATGAATTTTGCCATGGAGGTGCGGCCGAGGAGTTTATATCTTGGAGCGATGACGATTCACGATGACTTTCTGGTGTACGTCCGAGATGCTCAGCAGGGAGATGCTTTCTTGCAAGACATGATGAAACAGAAGGATGAAGGAAAGGACTTGGATTTCCACCGTGATGAGAACGGGGTGATTAAGTTCCAAAACCGAGTGTGCATTCCTCAAGTGGATGAGCTGAGACAAATGGTGCTTCAGGAAGCGCATAAGAGCAGAATGAGTTTTCACCCTGGTGCAACAAAAATGTATCAGAATCTTCGGAAGAGTTTTTGGTGGAATGGAATGAAGAGGGACGTGGCTGAATATGTGGCTAGATGCCTAACTTGTCAGAAGGAGAAAGTAGAGCACCAGCGTCCACCTAAGTTGTTACAGTCGTTGGAGATCCCTGAGTGGAAATGAGATAGTATCTCCATGGACTTTGTTTCTGGGTTGCTTAAGACCAGGAACAACCATGACGCCATCTGGGTGATAGTGGATCGATTAACTAAGGCTGCACACTTTCTTTTAATCAACATAAAGTATAAGTTGGAAAGACTTGTGGAGTTATATATGCGAGAGATAGTCAGGCTGCATGGAGTGCCGACTAGTGTAGTGTCATATAGAGATCCGAGGTTTACCTCGAAGTTTTGAGAGAGCCTGCAACGGGCATTGAGGACTAAGTTGAGACTGAGCTCAGCTTATCACCCACACACTGACGGTCAGACCAAGTGAACCATCCAATCCCTAGAGGACTTGCTGAGAGCTTGTGTGCTCAAGCAGTAGGGAACTTGGGAAGAGTGCTTGTTGCTAGTGAAATTCACATACAATAACAGTTACCATGCTAACATGGGAATGACGCCGTTTGAGGCCTTGTATAGGCGGAGGTGCAGAACTCTGTTGTGTTGGTATGAAACCGGAGAGGCGACTATGTGTGCATCGGACATGATCCAAAGGCAGAATGAGCAGATCAAAATGATCAGAGATAAAATGAAGGCTGCACAAGACATGTAAAAGAGCTATTATGATAGAAGACAGAAGCCGTTGGAGTTTCAGATGGGTGACCACGTATTTCTGAAGATTTCACCTGTAACCGAAGTGGGTAGAGCTCTAAAATCTCAGAAGCTGTCTCCTAAGTTTATTGGGTCGTTTGAAGTGCTGAGTATAAGTGGTCCTGCTGCATATCGGATTGCGTTGCCTTCGAACCTCCGGTGTTCCATGTGTCACAGCTTAGGCAATATGTGTCGGATCCTTCCCATGTGATAGACCTTGACCCGATTCAATTAAGAAAAGACTTGTCGTATGATGTGTACCCGGTGAGGATTGCGGATCACCATGTTAAGCAGCTGAGAGGCAAGAACATCTCATTGGTGAAGGTAATATAGAGTTCAAGTGATGAAGGAGATGTCACATGGGAAACATAAAGTAGAATGAGAGAATTGTATCTAGATTTATACTTGTAACTAGAACGTGTTGGATTGAATTTCGGAGACAAAATTCCTTAAAGGTGGGGAGAGTTGTAATGCTCTAAATTTTGGTAATATTAATTATTATTATTATATATATTTATATATATTCATATGTGTGTCGATTTATTTGATAATGATGTTTATGTGTATTTAGTATATGGATGTGTGTATTTATGTGTATGCATGACTAGATAGGGCCGACATGGGCTAAGTGCCTAAGTGCAGGGCATGATACTGGGCTATTCTCGCTATAGCGAGAGGATTCTCGCTGTAGTGATGGGGCCCTGGGAGGAAGGACCAGAATTGTCACCTTCTCGTTGTAGCGAGAGACGTCTTGCTGTAGCGAGAGATGTTTTGCTGTAGCAACAGAACGACAGTTTGGGGTGCATTTCTGGGTGCAGTCTCGTTGTAGCAAGAGGGTCTTGTTGTAGCGAGATTCTGTAGAAATCAGAAGGCAATTTTATCTGAGATTTTCGTTGTGGCGACAGAGGGCGTCGCTGCAGCGAGGCATCTCTCGCTGCAGCGAGAGTTTCTTGCTGTAGCGAGAGTATTGCGATCTGAGGGGTTTTAAAAGAGGGTTCAGGGATTTGAGATTCATTTCTCAAATTCCCTCTCAAATCTCTTCAATCCTTTCGACCCAAAACTCTATTCCACCGATTAATTGCCTTCAAAGTCGTTCAGAAGCTTGATTGAAGGTTGAATTTGTGTGAGGGACGCTTGGAGGTGAGTTTTAATGGTTAGGGTTTCAGTTTTTCATCCTTTTTTCCTGTTTTTGTGGTTTCCTTGGGTTCTCATGGAGTTTTTCCATGTGTTTAGGACAAAATTTGTGAGGGGAAACACTTCTTGGTGGGTTTAGCCTGTGGGACTTCAATCCAAGGTAAGAGGGGAACTCTATCCTACTCTTTTTTGCATGAATTGTTGATATTCTGCTGAATATTGTGTTGTGACTGAGTTAGTGGGTAGAAAATTGCTGAGAAATGTAAATGTTGTGTGATAGAATAAGTATGGGCACTTGTGTCGTATATTTGAATGAATATTGTGAAAATGTGGGCCAAGGGCCGTGTAATAGGAACGATAATTGTAGGCTGCGTGCTGTGTGCTGTGAATTGAATATAGGCTGTGCCGTGTGCAAGCATAAATATTGCGTGCGTGAATGAAATGTATGTGAATGGAGCATGTAGCGTCGTTGTAATGTGATGTGGATGGTTCAGCGATACACTGAGGGTGTGGAAGATGATGACGGTAGAAATACCTTGGGGAGGAGAGAGTAGTGGTGACACCGACTGTGGAACGGTGCACCACGGGTCACACTCTCTCTTCCTTACTAGACCTCTGACCATTACCTTTGCTAAGTGACCTGTGACTGCCCACGTGGTATCCGTGAGACGAGGGTAACCAGCTATCATTCATGGTGTAAATCTGTGATCACAGTGTCACAGTGAGTGTGGCTGGTATGCATATACATGGGTTTATGAATTGTACTTGTAGATGTGAAATGTTTATAATTATGTTTGTTTAATGTGTTGAAAGTGTTTTAATGGTGAGACTTTACGTTAATTATGTGTTTTTGGATAGTGTAGAGTACTCATCCTTACATTCATTTTTCAGGTAATCAAGACGATCAGCACTGGACTCAGTGAAGAGACGGATGGACTGCTATAGGACATAGATTTTATTTTGAAATTGTTGTAATTGAATTAGTCTTGTAACAGTTATTTGATATTAATTTGTAACCCTCCACTTATTTTAAAATCTTTTATGAAAATTTAGTTATCCGATTTATGAAATTATTATTTAATTAAAATTAAAATTAAAGTTTTATATCCCTTCCAATGCATTTCAATTAGTATTAAATGTGCAGTAGAATACTTTTAGATTTCCAGTACTTTGAAGCCTCTAGTGACATATGAGTAGCATTATTGATTATTCTAAATTATTAGTCTTGCTCATATTTCCTGTAATATCATTTTCATAATATGCAAATTATTTTGCAATGAATTGCAATATTTATAGTTTTTCAATTAATTAAGTTCTAAAGGTGTGCAAAAAATTTAGATTTAATAATTTAATCTATAACCAAAATAAAATGGATTTAAAATTTTGGATTTTTAAGAAAAATTAGATATGCAACCCATTTTAGATAGATTTTGGATCTTCTTTAATAAAACTAGATTTAATATATTAAAAATTTATTTTTACCGTTAGCAGTATGTACGAATGAAAGTAATGCATTTTCTACAACACTATTCTTCCCTTCATTCACCACTATTTAGGTCCCTTCTTTAAAAATACAAATCCCTGATTTATGCTCTTTTATCTAATTCAATTTTGCTACTTGCTGTTTAATCTACCCCTTTCCCCATTTTTAAGATGTAATACTTATGTATATATACCTTAATAGATATAGAATCGTATATTAATAAAATAGAAAAGAATGAATATTATATTATCTAGTAAGCATTTATATACACAAAATATATTCTTTATTAAATATATTTGAAAATTATATTTTTAGTTATTTTATGAAAGATAAATTTTACAACATAATGATTTTTAATATATTAATTTGTAATAATACTATATAGTAATAATTTATATTATATAAAATAAAAATATATATCTATATAGTCATAAATTTTGCTATGCTAAATATATTAGTAAAATTAATTTTAAACTAAATCTAAAATTTAAAACTAATTTGAAGAAATCATTCTCAAGGCCATATGTGACCCACTAATGGTAGTATAAGATTTTTGACATTTGGTCATTATATGTATTCTTTGATAATTAACAAAAAAGAAATGCAATGATATTGCTACCATAGATTCAGGATTAAATATAATGTTGTCACTATAACTTTTTTGAGTGGTAAAATTATTAAGGTTCTTTTTTGTTTAAGTTAAAAAAAAATTATTCTATGATGAGACTATTTTTAGAAGTTTTTTCTCCCCCCTCCCCCAAAGTTAATATTGTATAAAAATAAAACTTGTTTTAACTAAAATCATAAAAATTGAATTTAAAATCAATTTTAAACTAAATTCAAATTTTAAAGTTAATTTTAAACTAATTTTTTAAAATATAAAAAAATTAATTTAAAATCTAATCCATAAAATTGGATTTAAAATATATTTGGATTAGGTTTTCGTAAATCCAATCCATGAACACCACCATAGGTATCCAGCCTCATGTTGTTGGGAAAAGTACACCTCGTGTCCTAGTTTACTATTCTTATAAGAGAGATGATACAGAAAATTATGCTTTATCTAAAAAAAAAAAATCCTAAAGTCTGTCGTTGATGCAAATGATGATGAAGTTGCTCATGTTGCAGCTTTGGCATTAACTGAGATTGCACAAAGAGGGGCTCTCCTCAGGTTCCTCAAACACCATATAGAAGAATAGAGCAAAAGTCCTCCTCTCCCATTCAAAGTTAGGAAAGAAAGGTATTTTACTGTTTACTACTTTTTCTGCCATTATCTTGTTGTGCTCTGGATGTGTGAATAAGCATCAACATTCAAATAGGATTTAATGGAAATCATTGTGAATGAATGCTTGCGTTTGATACATTGTTGTTCAAAAAGTGTAATTATTTTGCTATTTTGTCAACCAACACCAAATGTCAAAGACAACTCATGTCAAGGTTTGTGATGTTTTTGCAAATGAAGAGTTCTCAAAAAGCAATATAGAAAGTAGGGGAGTTGAAAATAGGGAATATGCAAGAGATAATAGTTCCTTGTTGGATATGGAAGGCATTGGCATTGTTGAAGTTCTTTAGAAGGGGGAAAATTTTACAGAAAGAAAGAGAGTGAAAAATGCTGGAAACTATCAATTTGATGATGGTGTAGAAGCATGTAGCGGCACTAAAGAAAGATTTAGTTTTAGTTCATTGAAGGAAAAGGATTATATTGAGGTTACTAATGACAAACTTGAAAAGTTTTCTAAAAGAAATCAGAGAAATAGATACAAGAAACTTTTCTTTGGAGGTAATTTTGTCACTGCAGGTATGGATACAAATTGTTTGCATTAACTTTTTTGTTTCTTTCCCTCCCTTTGCCATAGGCCGGTAAACATGGATTTTTGTAAGATATGTTTATCCTTTTCTTCCAAGATGTCTTTGGAGTCACGATATTTAATTAATTTATCCAACAGATGAAATTCTTGTCTTGAATGCTTTGCAAACTTTGGCAGATCTATCTCTAATGATGCCAACATCTACAATAGAATCTGGTAAGATACTTTTGTGACACCATGAATATAAATGCATTTGCATGTCAAATCTTTATTGTTGGGTAAGTAAGTGTACCTGTCAAGAAGTAATAAAAGGTTCTTAAATTAAATTCTCAAATTATTGTCCTATAAGGATTGTTTTTCAATTATTAAGTATTTTCTAATTCAATTATTTGAGTTTAAAGGATATAAGATTAATTTGAATAAGAATTTATAAAATCAATTATAAACTTAAGAATAAGGAATACAATATACGTCTTAGTTGAACTTATCTGAGAGGATCCTAGGGCATATGAGTTTTCTCATTCAATCCTTTATGTTATTTTTTTTCTTTTAATTTTAAGTTTGATTTCTTGTGATTACTAATTATTCATATAATTACTATTAATACCCAATGGTCATGCAATATTAATATTCTTTTATCTAAATTAACATCTCTAATGGTCATGCAAGACATCAATTAAATAAAGCATAATGAACCTATAAATTTGTTAATTCAATAACGATTGGAGGAAAAAGATTGGTTGGATTCACTTAATTATTTGTCTCGTTTTATCTATAGATTTATTAACTAATCGAAGTATGGTCGCTTAATGATATAATTAATTAGGATTATACAATTAAGTGCAATAGGATAAACACTAATCACAAACGCAAATCAAACATAATTTCAAACTTTAAAATCTCATAAATTCATGAACAATAGTTCTCATACTCAACCAATAAACTTAGTTACTCATACTAATGAAAAGAACTAAAAGAATCATAAATAAAATAGAGAAAAGCAAACTAGAATGAGATGAGTTCTTCAAGTACAGTCGCTCAAAGTTTCAAGTCATGTCAAGAATATGCCACAGATCCTGTGCAAGAGAGATAAGGTAAAAGGTTTATCGAAGAGCAAAAAGACAAGATGTCGAATAAAATGCATGAGGACTCTCTTTCATAGGATTTGAAAACCCTAAAAGCTCTTCATAATTAGGCTTCCTACAAATGAGCACGCCTGTGCAAGTCCATAGGCACGTCTGTGCATGGGCTCGAAGCACCCTCGTGCTTGTTAAAAGGGTCTGAGTCTGTTGACTGTTGCGAAGCTTTTTGCAACAAATTTGAGCCCAAAACACACTTTAATCATGTGGCCTTTTTATGCTAAACTACAAAATATACAAATAAATCAGTGTAAAATTCAAATAAAATAAAGGTCAAACATCAATATATAGGCTATAAAAGAGGACCTAATTACAGACTTATCACTCATCAATACAAGTGTTGCTCTAGAGTCAACATTTTTTCCATCCAAGTATTCTATGGAGTTTTCATCAATGCTATAAAAGGATTGGGTTTTCCCTGAGCAAGCACTGCCTAAAGATCTTGTCAAGAGGTAAATCATTCAAGCAAAAGACTAGTATTTACTATCCATCATTTTTATTTTGTATGATTAAATTCAACAAATCATGTAATATTATTGACTTGTCTAAATTAAATAATTAAAACTAGAAGAACTTAGAGGATATCATAATAAAATAGAAGTTGTCATGACCCTTTTTATAAGAAACCGAGAATATTGTTTCTACATCACATACTTATTTAAAATAAATAAATAATATAGATTATAAGTATAAAATTCACTTCTCATTCAAAATAAAACAAATTTTCTTACAACAAATATCCACTAGAACAACATAATATTACATTTAGTTTATAATATTCAAAATATTCAAAGTTATACTACGTAACTCCCTTTACATGAGGTCTTAAATTATAAGAAAAGAACTTTGATGCAAAATTACTCGACTCCAGCTTCTAACATTTCTCCACTGGCCCCTCAGCCTGTGAAGTAGATGCAACACCTGCTACATCTGCTCACGTACCACCGTATGATCATCGTAATACACACGCACACAACAACATAGAAAGAAATACAAAGGTGAGCTTACAAAAATAAACTAAAATCGTATATATATATATATATATATATATATATATAACAATACATTACTCATAACAACAACCACATGCATTACCAGCCCATTTAATGCACAACATGAAAACGGTTTCCAACTGGTTTCACAGCTTAAGTAATCCAGAAGGAATCGAGCCGATCCGGGAGCGACCCATTCTAGTATCTGGTTCCAGACAACACAGTACAGCAGCTCAGCATGAACTTACCGTTACACGTCTACCCACCTAAACATGTAACTCAGCTCTATAATGATGCAAAACATATATTTCAGCATGATGCACACTGCTAAAATTATTTTAACAGCTCAGCTAAGGCAAGTTTATAATAGATCAGCCAAAATCTCAGCATTTTAAATCAATTAACAGCGGTTACAACTTAGACAATAGCTTTTATTCAATAGATCTAACAAAATTATATCAAAACATCTTGAAATAGCATATCAAACCATTCAAAACGTAGTTCATAGGTTAAAGTAAGCTCTCCTTACCTTAGAACGATGATTCACACTTGATCTACCGAATATTACTTGTTTTATAACAAGATTCACCGAAGATTTGGCTTTAGAACGAAGTTTCTCCTAAGAACACCATAAA